TAAAGACAAATGCTGTTCATCTGCTATAGGTTTTAGGCCTGACAGTTTTATCAATTTTTTAAGGACACCCTGCACATCACGTTGACATACACCAAGTTTTGTTTTTATTATTATTATTACCAATAGCTCTTTGGAAATATTCTTGTTGATGCCAAAATACAATTTTATACCCATGAAACTGCATTATCTTTCATTCATTAAAGAAATGAAAATTAGTGAGAAAGTAGCCAGTGTCTAAAAGAAAATGTTGAAAAACCTTCAGAGAGTATTGAAAACTATTGCTCAAGAGCACTTTTCAAACTTCCAAGAAAGTCTAGCTGCTTGGAGGTAAATAAATAGAAATGGGTGTGGCTGGAGATTTTCCACAGCACTGTAAATCCATCACTTTATTGTCATGGTTTAAACTAATCATGGTTGATTTAAATCAGATATATACTGAGGTATAAGATACACGGGGTAGTATGAAAATGGCATGCACTAACACTCACTTGACCCATTGATTTTAATAGGCAAACGTGTTCTACGTGAGAGCGAAAAGGAAAATCTCTTTGTTTCTATGTTGTCCTAGTAACTCGTGATCAGATTTCAGCCTGAGCAGTAACTAGAGCTCCTCCCAGGCCTCAGCAACAATCTAGATTGTGCTGCCCATTGTTACTGTGAGACGTTGCTTTTGTGGTATAACTACTTGAAAACCCACCAAATGACAAAGGACAAGAAACATTAAAGGTGTAATGATTTAATGATGACCAGAACGCCCACACACTCAATTCTCGTGTATGTTTACCTTTAGGCTTGTGTTTGTAGGTCAGTGCTTTTATTTAGTCACATCTATTGACTGATTGGCTGAGTGAGCACCAAAGGTTGAGTTGACTCACTGGACTTGAAAAGTGACTAAAAATAGCGATGTAAATGAGCAACAACAACTGTGCAACACAGAATGATATCCTTGTCTTTTTAGTAAAGAAACATGAACAACAAACTCCTCTGCTGCTACTCCTGCTGCTGTTAAAGTTTCTCTGGGCTAGACCACATTTTCCAATTTTGGTCAGTTGGAGTTGCCCAGCAATCAGCAGGAATTGACACTGTGATTGCACTGAGTGGTTTTCCCTGGTGTACCTGCACAGGTGGAAAACGGGGAATTGTTTACAGGGTAAGTCAACACTGCTTAGGTGGCCAAATGAATCAAGATAAAATTCAAGTCCTTGTTTATATGCAAACTGCTGGAGTGGAGGGCAGGGCTGAGATGCCAGGTGCCACTGTAGACAGATTGTGTGTTACTAAGCAACTGAGATCAGGCATAAACATTAGTATGGCAAAAAAAAAGACAGAAAAGAATTATATGCCTAGTTAATTTCCTGCTATTAAAGTTGATATCACTGAATATAGGCAAATATGAAAACCAAATAAGATTTTGAAATCTTTAATAATCTGTTTTAATTGACTGACTGATTGACTGGAAGTCCCAACTACCCCCAAATTTTGGGTGGTGGCCAGTCCCCCACACCCTGGCATGGGTGATTATAAAGAATTCATAAACACGAATCTGAATCAGCATACTTTATTAATCCCTAAAGAAATAACTGAGGGTTACAGTTGCTCCAGTACAGCAACAGAAACAGACTAGATTATTTAACAATACAATATGTTACAGATTTAAGAAATAGCACGATATATACAAATCACTCAATAATAAATATCAAGGATTGACAGAGGTGATTATAAATAAATATCAAGAAAATCGACAAGAATATTACAGAGTAGAAAAGAGCGTGTGTAAGAAGGGTGTAACTATTGCAGTGTTTACAGTGTGTTAGATGGAGGAGTTGTACAGGGAGATGGCCACAGGCAGGAATGATTTCCTGCGTCATTCAGTGGTGCTTTTTGGTGCTTTTCCCACTAAACATGCTCTATGGCTAGCCAGCATGTCATGGAGTGGGCGGGAGGTATTATCCAACATTGTCTTTATCTTAGACAACATCTGCCTCTCCGACACCAGTTCCATCCCCACAACATTACTGGCCTTGCGGATATATGAATTAAGGACATTACTAATGCTGTGTTTTCATCTTAGCATTTAGAAGAGGTAACTGAATATATGTGTCCTTTTCCAAGTAACCTATATTTCACAACAGCATAATATAATAGTGGAAATTATTTTTTTGGCACATTTATATTTGTTTTAATATGGCCACCCCTAAAAAAAAAAAATTCCGGAGGTGCCCCTGCCGTTTAGTCGCACCCATCACCAAGAGGACAGTTGAAACCATTGTAAGACATTGCTCAACCTCACCATTATGTGTGCTATTGACGTCACCTGAGGCAGGGTGTGATTTGGGGTTTAAACACCCCAGGGTTGGGAATAGATTTCAGGTGCATTGAGGAGGATGAAACCTCCCATGCTGAAGTTCATCAGAAAACCACAAACACACACAAAGTACCTATTCTTTGACTCCCCCACCCACTGGAGCACCAGTGGGTGGTGGGACCTTGGGGTGTTGAGGACCCTACACCACTGACAAAAACATTTTCCCTCTAAAGAAGAAGGGAAAGAAAAGGAACACATAAATGCAAAGAAAGCACTTAAAACATGCAGTTAACCTTAACTGGGCCTTCATTATATCAGCAAAGATGTCTCAACATAGGAGAGCCACCTCAACACGACAAGACTCAGGTGTACATCTGTGCCTTAAGGACAAAGGGCACTCTTTTGAGGACCCCAATGTTAACCTTTTGGACCAGGAAGACAGGATGGTTTCTGTGAACTAATATTGTTGAAATGAGGTGGTGGATTATGAAACCAGGTATCACATGGTTTCTATGAACAAATATTGTTTCTGTGAATGAATTTTCTCAAAATGAGGTGATGGCTTAGAAAACCAGGTATTAGCTACTTACAATGACTGACTCCTCCCTAGGCGTTTCAATCCCCATTCTTACCTTACCTCAGGTGACGTCAATAACTAATTTAATGGTGAGATTGGGCAATGTCTCCGTTACGTAAGGCCCAAAATGGCCTCCGTACAAGAAAGTAGTAGCTCTAATATTGACCAGTAATGAACCACCACACGCACACTGTAATGGGCTACACAAGATTTATTTGTTCTTTCTCCGGGTAAAACTACTGGCTGAAGACAACTCTGACCCAAGGCCCAAAGCCACCGCGGTCAGGGTTGTTAGCCTGGTTACAAACAGGGGAAAGGTGGTCACTTGGAAGAACAAGCAGCCAAAACGTATCAATCCTGCAGCTTCCTCAAAAAGGCTTGCCACCCACCTTTTCAGGCCTGACTTCGTTCGAGGCTGGGTCTCCACATCACATCCTGGGAGCTGGAACTTCCCCAAAACTGGTCCAGTTTCCTTGTCAGGGGCACAGAGTCTCCAGTCCAGTGTTTGTTTTCCTGCCTTCCAGCACATCCACTCACATCCCAATAAGAATGAGTCCTCCCTCCAACATCCTCAGTTTATTTTAAAAGCAAAACCAGGCCAGGTTAAAAATCTTTTCCATTAAAATGTGCACACTTCATCCTGGATCTTCGAGGCTTCCCTGCTTCACCAGTGTCCTACTAAAAAAACAACAACAACCCCTACTTCCTGTTTCCTCTCCCCTTTATAGAGAAGGGCTCCAATCATCCCCAATCAGCTGCTCCCTGTATTCAACTCCAAATAGCTGGCAGCTGGACTAGAGTAGAATCTCCACTCCCACATGGGTGTGGCCCACACCTCACATCAAACACAAAAAAACACCAAAGCATGCAATTAATACAAAATAAAATCTAAAGAAATGCCAACCCAAAAGCTTAGGGGGCGATTCTCTCCATCCTTTTCCACCATGCTATACTCTGTAACATCTCACAGAGGTTTCACCTGTCGACTGGCATGTCCTATGTCTGTTATCACACGGTAAATAAATAAATAGTGGGTTAACGACTCTCAGTAACAACTCCAAAGCAACTGACCCCACTAGGTGTTGTTGTAGAACTAAAGAACCAAAATATCTGCAAAAACCTCATGAAGTCCAGTTGTGTTTGCCTCTAAGATTGCCTTCCTGAGCCTGGTTCTGCAAAAGAGCTCTTCCTTTTAAAGGGCGTTCTTCCTTCCTACTACTGCCAACTCCTTGCTCAAAGTAGACTATTATGGTTATCTCTCTCACTTTATGAAGATTTCATCATTCAAAATTAAAGGATTTGAGATGAGTATTCATGCTGTCCTTATAATGTGACTTTCCCCACCGCACTTACAGGCTTTTTTTTTTTTTTTTTTAATGTAAACTGGTGAACACCCGGGCTGTCTACAAACATCTCATCTGTTTTATTGGAATACAGTACTCAGTTCCTAGTAGTGGTTGTAAATCAATACTCAGTATTCCAGTAAATACTGGAAAAGTCCAATTGATGTGTGTGCATTGTCTTTGGCTGTGACTTAGATAAAGATCAGACTGTAAAAACGCAAGGCGTATCCATCGTGCTACAAATACGACGGATAGACTTTTAGTTTTTATTGAAAAGTTATAACGTTAGTACTGGTTGAGTGGCTTCATTAATACAGATATTTAAGCAGATTTACCCTCTCCTTGTCGGCCTAAATTAGTCGTCTCACTTTTAGCGTAAACATTTAACGTTAAGCCCAGACGTGTCACGCAGAGGATTTCATTCAAGTAGATTGCGGATGTGACGGCAGTAGCGTGACGGTTTGCTCATGCAAAAGTGTACGCTTGTGTGTAACACCAGCGACCGCCGCCGCCGCAAAATAAAAATAATCAAAAAAGGTCGAGGATTTTGAGTGATGTATTTGATTGCTGTTCGTTTTTTATCTGGTAATTTGTTGTTGTTGTTGTTGTTTTTGCTTGCATTGCATCTCTGCCAATTAATTAACATGACTTGGGGTTTTTTTTCCATGAGCAGGATGTCATTTTTAAAAATTAAGCTCCGCCACCGGTGCGCGCTAAGTCTTTGAGCATGCGCTTCTTTTGGTCATTCGATTACCAGCATGCATCAGGAGAACATCTTTTTTCCCCTGGTGGGTGGGGCTTTTTGAGAGGCGTTGCCGCACAGCAAGGACTCAGGGATTATATACCCTGTGCTGGTCTTCGAGCAGTTTCATACATTGCGCATTTGGAAGCAGATAGGTGTACCGCAGTTTAAGAACAACAGCAACAAAATAATAATAATAATATTTCAAGTATTTCAACAAATATCGACTCCGCTATGGCTAGCTACATCCATGTTCCCGACGAGGCTCCCGCTGTGCCCAAAATAGATGTGACAGTTGACGAGAACGACTACAGACCTGGTGCACTGAAACTGATGAAGGAGCTGAGACCAAGCTGGAGGCCGTTCGAGATCAAAATGAAGGTGCGGTTTATTTCATCACACGCACTTTCATTTCATGTGAAATATTTACTGATTTTTACCATAGCTTTTAATTCTCCCACATATCAAGTATTTATAACTTTACCGTTTAAAAAAAGGGACGTTAGCTATTAAAAGGAGTAAACCACTTAAAAACTGTTGCCGATGTTAAATATTTACTGGTGTCGTACATTAACTGTTAACGGTTAAACAGGTGGGATGACTTCATTTTTGTCAGTCGCTACCACCAAACCAGGAAATGAACGCAGTGAATAGTTGATCTTTAAATTTGTATGTCTTATAGTTTGTTTGGTTTTTTTCGTAACACGACACACGCAAAAAATGGGGAAAAAGAAAACCGAAAGAAAGAAAGAAAGAAAGAAATTGCAAGTGTACGTTTATGTAGGGACTGCGCTAAAGAACGATTGATTTGACTGCGCAGATGCGGGCTCATAATATCGCCGACGCTAAACTGTTCGCTAGATGTTCTTGTTGCAAGTAAATGTTCATGCTGCTTATTCTTCCCACACACCCTTATGCAGCACACACTTTTATATTGTCCTCACTCAGTGGATGCTGATGCTACACTGTGTCAGGGTGTGACCGTCAAACCATATTAACCCGTGACACACATATCTGGCTATATTCGGAACACGTTTTAACCGAACTATTCCAGTTTGCAGTTCAAGACATCAGACAACTGCAGCTTTGTGTTTCAATGGCCTGCACTATTAAAAGCATGCTATGCATAATAAAGTGTCATGACGTGGATATTTTCAGTTTACTATATTTATGATTTCACCAATAAAAGGCAGTCGATTGTTTGTTTTTTAACAGAATGCGTTAACAGTAGTACAGTATTGAAGTATGTATTAAACGTAAGGTTCAGGAAGAAATACTGACTCGAAACGCAACATGACTGTGGGCTATTTACATAAGAGGCTTAATCTAATCTTATGAGAGTGCAAATTGATCTTCCAAAGTTTAACACTTTACGTTACCCTGCAGGATAACAGTGTGACAGGTATACATTACAACTATAAACAGACACCCAGAAAGTGGTATTTTCCTTTCTGCGAACAAAGTGGAGGTGTTTGGTAAATAGTGAGAATGAAAGCTTGTCAGGGCGTCTGCTGTTCTTGCCTGTATTATTCATCAATGAGCTTAAAGTGGGGAGTCAGCAAATGCCAGCCATTGCTATCTAATGGATAATAAAATTCCTGACAGTCCTGTCATTCTCCGTCAATCCTAGATGGAGTAAACAATTAGGGTTGGTATGCTGACCCCTCAACCTTTACAAAAGTGTTCAGAGATTGTAAAGCGAAAATCAGCCAAAATGACACAACCCAAATTTTTGTAGGATTCCGCTTTGTTTTGCAGTATTTTGCCACTTCTGACGCCTCTCAGAACTTATGTAACGCCAAAAAGGTGTGGGCTCTCAGGCTCAGAATTTAAATAGAATCATGTGGACAGTCCCACTTCCTCTAATTGTAGGTGTCAAGTTCAAATTTTGAAGAATGGGACAGATGAAATCCCACTGATTAATCTGTCCTCTGCTCTTGTCTTCCTCTCTGCAGTTTTTCACAGATGGAATAACCAATAAACTGCTTGGCTGCTACGTGGGTGCAACCATGCAGGATGTGGTTCTGGTCCGTATTTATGGCAACAAAACAGAACTGCTGATCGATAGGGAAAATGAGGTGAAGGGTTTCAGAGTACTGCATGCACACTGCTGTGCCCCACGCCTTTACTGTACCTTCAACAATGGTCTGTGCTATGAATTTCTGCAAGGAACTGCACTGGAGCCTGAGCACATTCGCAGCCAGCCTGTTTTTAGGTAAAAAAAAAAAAATCTTGCTATGCAAAATGGAGCTTCTACAGTGTCACTTGACTTTGGGTGTTGTATGCTCTACCACCTCACCGCCTACCTGTCTGAGGCTAAAAATAGATTCTGAACAGAGTTGTGCAATACCTGCATCAGTGTTTTGGTTGATTGTATCGGCACATTCTAGGCTCCAAATATTAGCCTTTTAGCTGGATGTAGCTTTTTTTTTTTCTTCCCTTTACAAAAATGACATGAACCATGTGATTGCATGGCTCTCAGTTACAGTCTATAACAACTTGCAGAAAGAGTATGAAGCAGTCAATTCCATTCAGTTAACTGGGAAAAGCCAGAAAGACAGCAATTGACTACATCCCAGAAATCAGTTTTTGAGAACAGAATAAGTTCGTTTTCAGTTGTAAGGTTTTTAATTTTTCTTGAAATATACCACGAGTTTAAATAAGACACATTAAATGCTGTTAGCTTTAACTTTAATAACTTTTTGAAAGCAGGTTTCCTTTTTCTTAATAATTACTTACTGACAAGACTGCATAATCTGATCCATAATAAAGTTAAAGCAATTCCCCTCCTTTTATAGCCCATTTGTGTGTTGCTGCTTGCTGTTGTAGTTACAGTCTTCTTGTTTTCTACCTTGCAGGCTCATTGCTAGGCAGCTGGCCAGGTACCACGCCATACACGCCCATAATGGCTGGTTACCCCAGTCTGACCTGTGGCTGAAGATGGGCAAGTACTTTACTCTCATCCCCAAATCCTTCAAGGACCCTGAGCAGAATGCCAGGTGAGACCACATAGATCAGACTTAGTCTGCCAGATCTGTTAGAGAGCTGGTTAGTACTCAGGTTCTCATATGTCTCAAAGCCCAGTTGAGTTTCACTTCTACTGTCTAAAGAAGTGAAATGCATTTCATATTGTTCAGCAAACTTACACTATGTATATGTCCCTTTTTTCACACATGACTTCAATTGACTGTTTCATACAGGATCAAGAATCAAGAGTTGGCATTGTAAGAAAAGTGGTTATGTAATGTTTATTACTACTATTATGTTTAGGTTTTGGTATTTCTAAAGACTTTATTAAGTTCTGAAAATGAATTTGCCACGCCTTTTTATCAGCATGGCGTGATATGACCTCATAGCTTTATCTGTGAGTCACATGATCCCTCAGGTTTTAAAGACAAAACACAGGGATATTTATCAGGTGATCGTATCTGGGGAAGTACGTCAAGTCCTTTGCATAGTTTCAGGACATTTGTTTTGCATTCCCAAGAGACTATGCACGTCTTTCCCTAAGTTTTGCTACATCAATGACCAGCAACCTAGAATAGTAAAGTAGCTCATTTCTGGCTTAAAAAAAGAGAGGCTGCATAACATAAAAATGAGTTATGATTACAGTGTCTCCCTTACGTGCTTTTGCTGTTTTGTCTAACAGTAATAGCTGCCTTCAAATCTACTGGCACTTAAAATGAATCCAAAACAAACATTTGCTTTATATGCTGTTCCATGCAGGTCAAGCAAATATTAATACTGTAAGAAATACTATTAAGTTGAGTCGGAGTGTAAGAGGCGTGGCATCTCGAGTCTTGTTTACTGAAGTGTCGGAATGTTTAATGAGCACGGACACTGAATACTCTTCTTTCCAATTTCTTGCCACATTCTACAAATGACAAAGAAAAGGAATTCATTTAACACGAGTCTTTTAAAAATCCAATCCAAACAGGAAGTACAGAGCAAAACTCTCTGCCAGTGAGTGTTGTGGGAACAGTGTCTATTTTCTGTTCCTGGTGTTCACGATTTGTGCTTACTGCAGTTTAAGCAGTGAGGCCACTGATAAAAGGTTCTAATGTAACGCCATTAGTTGTAAATGCTCTTAATACAACAACTGATAGTTTTAATCTCTGATTTTTATTTCTTTTTTTAATTCCTGTAGTGATGCTTAGCCACCTTCTTTATTTGTTTTCTGCTCAGTTTCGTTTTGTCATTCTGGGCTTTACTGACAAGTGTGATATACGTATTTGCATTTAAATTAACAATACACTACAAAAATAGACTACTTGTACCTATTTGCACCTCATAAAGTGCCACATTTGATTTTCTTGCCTTCTAGTGCCTGTTATTCTGTTCCTGTTTTCTCCCATACTTCTGTTTCTACCTCTACTTTCAGGTTCCCCATACTGACTTATCCATCTCCATCTCCCATTGAATACTGCTCAAAAAAGTAACACTTTTCAATCAGAGTACAACATCAAGTCAGTTAAACTTCTGGGATGTTGATCTGGTCAGTTAAGTAGCAGAGGTGGCTGTTAAGCAGTCTCAGCTGCTTTGCTGTGAAAGAAATGAACAAAAGAGGGACTGACTGTTTTTGTTGTTTGTTTGTTTTTTCACTAGTTTTATGTTTGGCTAGGGTTAGCGTCACTACTGCTATCATGAGGTGATGCCTAGACCGTACAGGGGTTGCACAGGTAGTCCAACTCCTCCAGGATGGCACATTAATATGTGTCATTACCTGAAGGTTTGGTGTGTCTCTCAGCACCGTCTCAAGAGCATGAAGGAGATTCTGTGAGAGCTGGAGAGGGCCATAGAAAGTCCTTAACCCATCAGCAGGACTGGTATTCGCTCCTTTGTGGAAGTAGGAGCAGGATGAGCACTACCAGAACTCTACAAAAAAACCTGAGATCCTAAAGTCCTTTAGTGGACACTATGCTCACTGCCCAGCGCCGTGGAGCCCGACTGGCAATTGTATTAGAATACCAGAATTGGCTAGGCAGCAGCACCCTGAAAGCCATTAGGTAGCGAGACAAAGTCCTTGGACCTCACTCCAATAGAATAACTCTTTTGTTTTTAACGTGCTACCCAGTTCGTATCAGTATAGATATAAGCCCCCCCCCTCCTCTAAATTGAGATCTGATCTGTGTCCTTTAATTTTTTTTCTGAGCAGTCTATGAATAACTTGGTAACCAACTTGCTGCCTCTTTCAGGTTGAGCAGGGAGGTTCCCAGCGCACGGAGCCTCAGAGAAGAGCTGTTGTGGCTCCAGCAGAGCTTGTCTGTGCTCGGCTCCCCCGTCGTTCTCTGCCACAACGACCTTCTCTGCAAAAACATCATCTATAACCAGAAGGAAGGTGAGTATGACGGGGTGTAGTCGCATACTTTTCTGTGTGACTGAGTGCGAACTACACTGCTCCCTGTACCCAGATATGATTGCATTAATTAGATGATTTCAACCCTAGTCACATGCTACACTCATTGTCAGTGTTTGCATTGGACGGTAGCTGTAGAATTAGAACGGTCAGACAAGACAATCTGAGTTTGGCTAAGGCTCTTGATTAAATCATTTCTCCAAAGTCAGTTATAGTTTATTTATTTATATAGTACATTTAATTACAACAGGAACGTTGACCAAAGTGCAAGTGCAAGAATACAAAATACCTAGTAAAAAGTCATGGCTGTTAGGGTAAAAAGTTGTGCAAAGAGAAAAGCCTTGACTCATGGAGTTATTCTGTTTTCTAAATTTGTCTAATCTGTCGTTCTAATTCTGTGTTGAAAATACAATTAGAAATGTTATCAGCTTGAAAAAGCAGCATCATTGCATCATGCTACATACATAGTCTGTGTTACTGGCAGCATATGTTTTTGGTGCTATGTTGCCATTTTTGTTGGTGTGAATGTGAAGCAAACAGTCTTCGGGTAAACTTACTTGTGCACTGAGCTACTGCAATTATACCAGCCTATGAATCCAGTGGATTTATGTATGTGGGAGGGGGGTTGTTTAAGAGCTGTCAGCCCCCTCGTCAGTGTGTGACGAGGGGCGAGACCCTTCTTACAGCTCCTTGTGTCTAGCCTTTCTCCCTCAGGAATAACAGCAGAGGCTGTGGCTGCCCCACCCTGCCCCAGGGAGGCAATGGAGAGAGACAGACCTCACACACGGTCGGCTCTGAGGGCCCTCGCATACTCTGCCCACTCCTCAGACTAATCTGGATGAGTTCATGGCAGCAGTAGGAGCCAACTATCTAAACTATCTACCTGTCACCTTCCTTTTGCTACTTGGCCAACAGTTGTCCATCTGACAAACTATTGTTCCTACAGTACTGGTTATTACACACCCGTTTTTATAGGTGTCTTTGCTGTAAGTAACTCTGAGCACCACTCAAATGGCTAAATTTTAAAGCTGCTTTCTGCTTCTCTTCAGTTTTTGTTTTTTTGTCACTATTAATCACTAGAAAGAAAAGGACGTGGTGATACAGTATTCTGTATTTTTTTTTCTTTAAACTAACCCCATGATAAGATCCACACTGAATCCAGGTACAGCTAAAGGTCCATGTTTTGGGATTATTTCATGTGTAATATAGCACAGTGGATTTAAAATGAAGCCCTCAAATGTGGTTCAAGTCTAGACCAACTTTTGTTCATGAGAAATACAGTATGAGTTAAGGTGTTGTTGGCATTTGCTACCTAGTTACTTCATTTTTAACAATACATTTCTCACAAATTGCTCTAATAGATGCTCCTAATTGCACTAAATGTGTGTTCATTGGCTGGTCATGTCAACAAATTCACTATTTTACTCTTGTGACTGAAAACAATTTAAAGAAAACCACTGAGACTTCTTTGAAATGGGTAAAGAATTGTAGCAATTTTTGGAGGTCTGGCTTAAAAAGTCAAAAAATAACAATGTGTAAGTCATTCTTAGTAATTGTCTTTTCATGGGAATAGTTGACAGTAACAATAAAGAATATAATCTAACTTTCAATAAAAAGATATAACTATAAAGCTTGTGAAAAAAACATTTTGCCAGGGCGCTCCTAAAAGAAACTCCTGCATACAAATATATTTCTGAGAGAGTGTTGCCACTTATAGAACTTGAATAAAATCTGTGTTGCACATCAGGCGACGGCTGAGCAAGGGAAAAGTTCTGGTGTCACCCGGCTTTGCATGACAATGCAACACTCCTAAATTCCTCCACACAGAAATGCAACATCGCCTGGAGCCTGTACTCTAAAGTTAATTTCTTGTATAGGCATGTAAAAGTTTGGGCACTCAGTATGCATGTTTGTGGAATTGCAGAAGCATATTACAATCTTCAATAAGTACTGGATAAAAAGATCTAGTGTAATTGTATCTGCCTCAAACATCCAAACAGAACTAAACCACACGTACAAATGACAACTGTAATGGAATGACACCACAATAAACTCTGGGCCTTTCAGCTCCAAGCAAACTTTATTGTATTTCTGGCTGCGCCCACTCAGTTGTCTAAGGTGTCGTTTTTGTAAATGCAGTTGCTGTCTTATAGTGCACTTACACCCTTTTGTTGAGTTGGCATAAAAAGAAACTGAATGACTTCCATGCCACTTCCTGTCACTTCTGTTCAGCTGTAGCTGCTGACTTGAAACCACTTGTCTGCTAACGTGACAGCAGAAAAGCTACCACTTCCTGCATTGATAAACAAAAGAGCTGGAAGCGGTCATCTTTTTTTCTTTCTTTCTTGTTTTTTTGTTGTTGTTTTTTTAAGCTGTCGCACACTTATAACAAAGGCTGTATTACATTTTCCTGCTTGTTCCTGTCTCTCGGTCCCAGTCACAGGATCTTTTACTCTCCCCACTCCTCTAACTGTTGCTCAGATTTTTCTTTTTCAAAACAACCAAATCTCTTGACTCTGGCCCAAAGCCCTGTAAGTCTGCAGCTCAGCAGCTAACAGCAAGCCTCTCAGAGCTACTTTGCAGAAGCAGTAGTGATGTTAGGCTATTGGATATTCAGCGGACCAATAGGAAGGGAGTGATGAAGGGGAGTGTTAAGTCAAGGGGTGGTGGTTAGGCTTGATGGAATGGGTGTGAAAGAATGGCTAAAAGACAACTGTGTCAGTGAGAGTGAGCATGTGTGAAAGATGTTTGCCCCAACCTTTTCATCTGCTGCACAGGGGGGCTATAGCCACTGCCCGGAGGTGTTCAGTTGTGTCCCGCTAGGACCCACACGCCGGCTGGTAACCCACCTCAAAGTGTCTTTCTTTGTAGTCCAGCACCAACTCAAAATCTAATGTTCCATACACTAGGGTAAAGAAGCTAGCTAAAGCCAAAAATAATTAGTAGAGTAGAGACATTTAATTAAAAGTACTGTTTAAAAAAAAATCTGTATTTGTTAATGTCTCTGTAACAACTGGGCTTATGAAAGTAAGTGTTTGCATTTTGACTTTGACTGGATGCTTCTCTCTTTGTTCATTGTCTGTGCAGTGAAATCACATTTTCAGCAACCTGCAGATGCACTCACGCAGCACCATATTCTTTGAATTTTACCTTCCATGCTCTTACATCAGATTCCAAATGACAGTAAATATAAGTGCATATATTTTGCAAACCTGGCCTGAAACTGGTGCCTACATTAGCGGCTGTGTGGGATTTTGTGTGTGCACTTATGGGCGTGTGTGTGTGACTCATACACATCACGAGAATTTGTCTGAAGCTCTCAGTTAAGCTGAGAGTTGTTGCTCCTGTTTGTCTTCAGCCATCATCACTGCTGGTGCGTAGTTTCTTAGAACTTGTAAGTTGACTTGTGCTTGTAAGTACGTGGAACTTGAACTTTCTGAGAGCATGGATCAAATAGTGTGGTTGCTGTACATTTGCTTTGGCTGCTCACCGGCTACTTATTTCACGTGTGTGAAATATCTCTCTTCTTTGTATCTCTTTGTATTTTATTATCTTCCTCCTTTTGTTCCCTGTGCCCCGTTTCCTTGTTTCTGTCTTCAAAGCATAACATTGACTTGGCCATTTTCCTTTTACTCTGTGTTTGTGTCCAAAACAAATGTTCTCTGAGAAGCAGGCTCTGCTCCTTTTCCTTTACCATTTGCACATGTTTCACGTATTACAGCATGCTCTGTACTCTTTGATTTCTGCTAATATGTTCCAGCTGCCTTAAGATTTATAACTCAGCTTTCAAATGAACACAGACATGCACATCTTGATGTTTGTTTCATCAAAATTGTCTGTTCCTCAACACTTCTGCTACATTCAAAATGCAAACTCTTACTCATCAGCTCTTAAAACTAGCTCAGTAACCGTGCCAGTCCAGTTAGGAAGTCAGAAAGATAGGAAGTTACATGAAAAACCTTGACATTCTGAGTTATCAAAGGGAAATGCAACATAATCATTGTAATGTCTGCCTCCTCGTGTCTTTGTCTAAATGATGACGCTTCTGTTTCCAGGGAATGTAAAGTTCATTGACTACGAGTACACTGGGTACAATTACCAAGCCTATGACATTGGGAACCATTTCAATGAGTTTGCTGGTAAGTGTAACTCAAGCCACTCACATGTGTGAAAGTAATTTGTGTTTGCTGCTTTGCTATGGTATAGATGCACAATATTTACTATTATTTCTGTTTTATAGGCCTGAATGAAGTGGACTATAGTCACTACCCTGGGCGGGACTTTCAGCTTCAGTGGCTGCATTCTTATCTCGAAGCCTATAAGGAACACAAAGGCCAAGGTAGTGCAGTCACTGACAGAGAAGTGGAGAGCCTCTATGTCCAAGTCAACCAGTTTGCCCTGGTAAGTATTTGTAGTTGGTCCGGCGTCATCTACTCAATAATGGATGGATTGGTAGTTGGATGTGAAGTGAACACAACAGACACAGCCTGGCTACAGTAAAATAATCATTTTAAGCCAAATGTTTGCACTGTTACAGTAAAGCTGCACCTGCTCTACAGTTTATCAGACCAAGCTGCATTTATTTTTTATTTTATTTTAGCCTTTCTGGATTAAGTATTTGAGCTACCGTATCACCAGCTTACTATAAATCTGGTATATTAGTGTTAGTGTGAGGGATTGGCCACAAAGGTGCACTTTATATTGTGTCTCTCATCAAATGTTGTTTATCACAAAACAAACTCTATTAAGAACTCCAACAGTATTCTAGTAATGGTGTCGATCACCCACATTTATTTTGTGTGACTAAACGCACATGTGCTTTGGAGAAAATAATAGGAACCGCCTTCAAAGCAAACTTGTCACTTGAAGTCTTGAACTAGTACAAATATTTACTCTGTAGTTTAAAAAGATAAAATAGTTACCTGAACAGACAAATGTTACTTCTGTATAATTCAGCCTTTCCCCCAAAATGGTCAAAACTAAAGCATTAACATTAGACATTGACCAAGTACAGTGAGGTCCTTAGGGCTTGTTCTGAATGATTCTCCACACTGTAAGCTGTTGGGTCAGAGTGGTGCATGTTATACAGATCACACAGACATAAACTACCTGCTCTGAATATGAGAGAAGGATGATTGACACACTCACTAATCTAGCCACCACATGGGTAACAATAACTAAAGATAACTTGCAGCCTTGGTGAGACTCGCCGTTGTCCCGTGAGACAGATTCTGCCTTGTTTACTCTGAAGAGGAATAGAGGGCAGTGTGGAGGATGGGCAACTGAAACAATTGTATTTCTGTGTGAGCTGTTTGTAATTGCTGCCATAGGGCCTCTAGTTTTATACGTACTTGTGTGTGTCATGTTCGATAATTGGAAATGACCTGTACTTTTAGACTGTGAGCACACGGTGAACCTTTCTCTCTCTGTCTCCTTTTTGCCAAGGCTTCTCATTTTTTCTGGGGTCTCTGGGCTCTGATTCAGGCCAGATTCTCCACCATCGACTTTGACTTCTTGGGGTAAGTTGCCATCTTTAAATAATCTAGCGAGCACACTTTTCTTTGAGCCGTTATATCTTGGTGTGGCAAGCACAATTTAGTAACTTAATCACGTTTAAGAACAAAATGTTAAGCATCCACATGGATATTTCAGGATGTTCTGTTATTTTTGCACTGGCATTTCGTGGTAACATGTCACGTACATATTTATCTCACTGCTGGCACTGCTGCTGTGTGTCTCTACTTTACAATCAGATATGCAGTCCTGCGGTTTAACCAGTATTTCAAGATGAAACCAGAAGCGGCTGCACTAAAATTACCAGAATAAAAGCCCGCACCTCCCTCATCATCATCTCCTCTTCGTCCTCAAACCTGCTCTGCACCTCACACGATGACCTCAGAGTGCCCTCTAGAGGTCCCTGTTGAGAAGAAGCCAGACTCTGAGTCCAGTTTAGTTTCTGAAGATCCCCTCTAAAGTCCACATCCATAAAGACTGAACGGGCAATGATAAACACTGTTAATCAGGATAAAGCCCATACTGTCAACATGGGTGTGTGAAGGACCAATTTTAAGATCCGCTATAATGTGAAGTCCACTTGGTTAAATTTATTTTCATTATCAATTCAGTTGATATTTGCATATCAGCTTATTGTATTTATAAGCAGCTCTTCAGATGGCTCAGCTCTGTCTAAGGCAGAGAAGAAGCATCATGTGAGCAAATACATGGCAACTACAGCATTATTTTTTTTTTTTGTCTTTCTTTAAAAGTTGTCCAGACATTAATCTGACTGCCTAGACACCTTCCTAATATCACATTCATGGGGAAACCCCCTCAGAACCAGCCAAGTCATAGACCACATTTATGACAACGGGCAAATAAAGCCTGCTTTATTTGCCAAGGAGCCAAGATAAATGGTAGAAAATGCTAACATGGAAAGGCCAGTCCTGTCTCTCAGTCCCATGTGATAGGAGCCACGCCACACCAAAAACACTTGAGGTCTGTCTTGTGATTCTTGTTTTCACCCCCACCCCCTACATTTCCTGTCCATGCATGGGTGGTGCCTAAGAATAGCCATGTAGTAAATGTTTTACTTTGTAAAGGTAGAAAAGGGGGTTTTAGGGGAGCAGCTTGTGTTTGCCTCTAAAATCTTCCTTAAATGAAATAGTTGTAGATCATTGAAAAGCCATTTGGTTTGACAGTAGTTCTCACTGTACTTCTAGTTTTGTTACTTTTGACACTTTTGTTAACTTAACACAAAGATACATTTTACTGTAATTTTTACATTCCGCACTTGTTAGTACTAGATTGTAAAATTGGTGGATTTCACGTGGTAAGTTAGCAGCGTCCATCCTGATAGGGAAGGATTTGGAGTCTTTGTCAATATTATGAATCGCTTTTGTCCTAAAGCTCCAAGGACTAAGCATTTTGTGAACACGTTCTCATTTAGAGGTGTGTGTGACGTGGCCTTGCTGGCTGTCAGATTTTTGAAGCAGAGTTGGCATTTATCATGTTAAATGATGGATGTTAAATGGTATGGAAAAGTGGAATTCTGGTAAAAGAAAGTCAAAATGATTATCTCAGGCTGCCAGTGGAACTTGAAGATAATTTTTAACAGCAATAACTATTGAAGTTGGTAAAGAACTCTTTAAACAAACTGTTTTTGAAAGAATCTTTTAGGAACTTTTATGAAAACTAAGAAAGCGTAGCTCTCGGTGATTTAACAAGCAGACACCAAAGTGCTGATCGCCGTAAACACTTGCAAGAAAAATGTTTAGAAGAACCTAAGCGTTTCAGATCCTTACACTGTTTAAATGTGACCATGACCCAGCAACTCTTGCAACTGGTTTTTGTTTAGTCCAAAACAAAATCACACGTTTGCAGAGCTCGGTGAAAGCAGTTATTGACACAAAGTTGTCCACTCATACTCATGCAGTTATAAATACATATAGAAGTGTCAGTCTGCCTTTGTGCCTTTTTTTTTTTTTTTTTAAGTCTTATTTTTCACTCAAAGCAATGAACTTAAGGATTATTACTCTTCTGTTTTTAATTAAGTGTTGCTTTTTTATGCTGGAGGATTAAGATGGATAGATAATAAAATTCTCCTGTTGGACCTAGGGTAAATTAGAAATTCTTGTCTTTTAACCTGTGACTTATAAACCCAACCATCTACTTGGTGGTAAAGGGTTTTTAATTTGCTGGTTTGGATTGTGCTGAGAGAACATTTCTAAAGGGTCTCTCGGAAAGTTGTTTGGAGTATTAAGATAGTAGACAAGACTAAGTGTACAAAAAATCCATCTGAATAATTAAACTGGATGAGTGCATTTTCACTGTATATCGAGTAATCTCTCTAGTCTTTTAACTTGAACCACTACATCTTAGAAATGCATTTATATTTAACATTATTGGAGGGGGAAAGGTTAAACTCTGGCCACTGTAGCATATGTTTATATGTATAACTAACGTAATGATAGCTTTTTTTTTTCTCATGTGAATATGTGTACATAGAGGGAGGTTTTTTTCTAAGAAATGAATTAAGGTGGAAAAACTGCTCAATGTAAAGAGTGAAACTGGAAAAACTAAATATGCTTAAAAATAAAGTATATTTACATTTATGTCTGCTTTTGTCTTTTTTTTT